GCTGGCCCAGGGTGAGAACTTCAGTACATAACACACGAAATTTATCCAAGTTCCCTGAATGCAGAGGAAAATAAATCAGGATCTTATAACCTATAAAAAAAAAATACATTGTAGAAGAACATGGGCTAATATGCTTTCCCAAGGATAAACTTTCAAATGCTGAGAAGCCGCCTCAAAAAACAACCTTCCCTGAATGCAGACACCAAAGTATTGAACTGAGCCATCGAAAACGCTCTCCTATATCTAGGAATGTTGGATCGTTCTAGAGAGAAGATTGATAACTTTCTTAAGTTTACAAAAACAGCTTTTCCGACATCTACAGAATAGCCAAAAACTCAGGAGTGGGTTAACCATGGGCCAAGAACAGCCTCGAGGCATGTCACCCAAGTTCACCCAGTTGGCTTGCCCAAGAACATATGGAGCAAGTGGCAAGCTACTCTTAATGTACCTGAATCAGTTTGTGCAGATCAGTTTGTATTGGTAGAACATGCGCCCCACCAGCAGAACATTCTCCTAGCCTAGCATATGTCCACAACTGAGCTACTACTGCAGTTTCTTGACATTCATAGCTCTCTTCTTGACCTTTCAATTTAAGTAACAACTGAAAAGTGCAAGAAGAATAGGATGCATATAACATACCTTTGGCTGAATCCCTCTGGGAATTCGTCCTTCTCCCCCACCTCTCAACATAATTACATGCTTTTAAAGGAAAGAAGACTCTGACTTGCTTTTGAAGTCAACGGAGTCCTCTATGCAAGGCTTTAAAAAGCTGTGCTATAGTGCCCCCCAAAGGAATAGGACTATTGGTACAGCTGTCAACTCCCCGGCGTTTAAAAAATATTCCAGAGGATAGTAATTGATCCATGTGTGAGAGATCATTTTATTTTTCAAGAAAGAGGGGCAAAGGGCAGGACTGAGAGCCCTGGAAGTTAGAAGTGTGAGAGTGGTAAATAACATTTGGAGGATACCAGCTTGGGGAAGGCTGCCCCTTACCATACATTTCCAGAGCATCCCCTGGATAATAATCTGCGCCTGCCTCTCACTTTAAAGGACCCAATGTTTTCCTGCTGGAAATATGCAGAATGTGCTGTTTAAAAGTTGAAAGGGAAGTTTCTTCCTCTCTAGACTGCAGCCAAATCAAGAACAAAGGGCAGCATTGCCACTATTACTAAAAGGTTATCATTAGCTCCTTATTTTATTTTTTTTTAAAAAAAAACTTCCCTCCAAATTTAATGTGACTTTCTTTTGTCGGGCCCTGAATGCAATGGATTTTTAGTGCCGAAAACCAACATTTAAAGGAAACACACACACATACACACAAATGCTGAACCTGCAAGGCAAATTGATGAAAGCCGGCGAATGTACGTTTAATGGGCCATTGTTTCGCCATATGTCTTCTGATGCAAGGACAAATGCTCTGTATTAAATAACAGTTAAAATCAGGCAGGGAGCCACAGTGGGGGGCTGAATGGGACACAGCTGTTCTCTGTTTTAAGAGAGCAACCTAGATGGCAGGGCAGGGCAGGGGGTGGTCACAATGTGAGTCTCACAACTCATCCCTTTCCCATTTGGACTGATGGCTTTTGCACCCGATAGCTAGAGCACAAGTTACTTCTGAACACCAGGTGCCAACAAGGGAAGCCTTCATGCCTTGCTTGGGATTTTCTATTCTCATGCTGTGTTTTTCCTGTTGTGAACCACCCTGGGGTCTTTGGATGAAGGGTGCTATACAAATTTATTAAAATAAAAACAAAATAAAACCAAGTGCTGCTAGCTGTTGTTCCTTTTGGTTTTCCAAAACCAATAAAAAAATTATCAATAAAAAATTGGTGTGGCGCAAGTAAATTTTAATTCTTAAAAGTGTTGCCCAGAGAAAAAGGTTTGAGAACTACTGGACTAGAATGTGGTAAGCAATACTTGAAATCTTCCCCTGCTTTAGGAAGCAGGCCAGCCACCACCTTATGCCAAGCTGGGGTGTGTGTGGATTGAGCAGTAGTATCCTTCCACTCACATCTGCAAGCACAGGCTTCCCCTTGCGATTGCTCCAACATTGCTCCGATGAAAATAGGGACATCCTTAATAATAATAATCTTTATACCCCACCCATTTGACTGGGTTGTCCCAGCCACTCTGGGCAGCTCCAACATATATAAAAATATAATTAAACATTAATCATTTATAAAACTCCCCTATACAGGGCTGCCTCCAGATGTCTTCTAAAGGTTACTTATCTCCTTGGCTCAAAGGTCACATAACTCCATACCCTCCTTTTCTCCGAAAAGCGGGACATTCCAGGATCAAATCAGAAATCGGGACGGCTTCTGAAAATCCGGGGCTGTGCCTGGAAAATAGGGACACGTAGAGGATCTGTAGTGCTTGCAGAGCCTGGTAAAGCTAAAGGGACCCCTGACCATTAGGTCCAGTCGTGGCCGACTCTGGGGTTGCGGCGCTCATCTCGCTTTATTGGCCGAGGAAGCCGGCATACAGCTTCCAGGTCATGTGGCCAGCATGACTAAGCGAACCAGAGCAGTGCACGGAAATGCCATTTACCTTCCCGCCGGAGCGATACCTATTTATCTACTTGCACTTTGATGTGCTTTCGAACTGCTAGGTTGGCAGGAGCAGGGACCGAGCAACGGGAGCTCACCCCGTCGCGGGGATTTGAACCACCAACCTTCTGATCGGCAAGTCCTGTGTTCTGGTGGTGGGGCTGAGCCAGCCTGCAATGCCTTCTGCTGCTGTCTCTAGGATAGGCCAGGCTGCAAATACTGCAGGGCTCCCCCCTCCAAATCTGCTCTGGAGGGTCAGGAGAACCCCCACAACAGAACATGGTGGTCGGGGGCAAGAGGGGAGAAATGCTTACACTGATGGAACAATCCATTGAATTCCACCCTTCGTTACAATTGTAGGGTGCCTGAAAATGCTTAGTCCCTTGGCAAGAGCATACAGTGCACACGTTTAAAATATTAGCAGCACCTACAAGAAAACATTATTAAAGGCAAAAGTTCCCAATTTTAAAAAATGGGATGCAGAAGGGGAGGAAAACTCCTGCCAAATTTATAGCTGTAAGATCTTTAGCTGCATTCTTGGAACACATATCTAAAGGAAGTTCTTTTAAATTAAATGTACTTAGGATCAGCGTGTTAAGTCTAGACAGAGAAAACTGAAACAAATGTGATGGGGGCGCTGTAGTATCAACTACACTTCTTGTGTCTCGCTGTTATCCCTGCTAAAACTGGTTTCTCGGGTGTTTTAGGGGGCCTGTGAACTGGGATCAAAGTCTTCACCCGTTCTGTGTGGCTGCAGGAAGCAAGCAAGCACCATCCACACAAGGACATGTTATCTATGGGGCCAGGGACATATCCAGCTCCCCCACCCCCCAAAAAGCACAGACTCATGGGAACTGAGCACACTCAACATTCATGGAAAACTGGCTGCTTCTTTTTTCCCAAGCGGAAGGGGTTGGAATTGCTGGAAGAGAGCATAGCTGGCTTGAACTCTAAACAGGAACACGGAAACATTTCTTGCAGGCTCCACACATATCAAAAAAGGGAAGTTTTTTTTTAACAAACAGGTACAGTGGTACCTCGCAAGACGAATGCCTCGCAAGACAAAAAACTCGCAAGACGAAAGGGTTTTTGGTTTTTTGAGTTGCTTCGCAAGACGATTTTCCCTATGGGCTTGCTTCGCAAGATGGAAACGTCTTGCAAGTTTGTTTCCTTTTTCTTAACACCGTTAATACAGTTGTGACTTGACTTCGAGGAGCAACTCATAACACGTGGTGTGGTAGCCTTTTTTGAAGACTTTGGTGATTTTTGAAGCTTTTCCAAAACTTTCCCGACACTGTGCTTCGCAAGACGAAAAAAATCGCAAGACGAAAAAAATCGCGGAACGAATTAATTTCGTCTTGCGAGGCACCACTGTATCTGAAAGAATGCAACACAAGTAACACCTTACAGTGCGAGGAAACTGCCTTTTTTTGCTGTGCACCTGTGACTGAGAGGAGTGTGTTCTTGCGCAATGATAAGTGAAATAGACCTTAATTTATTTCTGCTTTACTGGTGGTGGGCAATCCAAATCTTTAAATCAGAGCATGAAGATATCAGTTGTTGTTTTTTATTCCCTTAAGAGAAACTGCTACAGAAGTAACATTGTGTTGTTTGATATAACAAGCTTTAAAAATAAAGCCAAATGCATTTTTGCAGAGCTTTCAAAAACAGTGGTACAGTCCGGAGCTTGAGCATGTCTACTGCTTGTAAATTAGGCTGAGGTTATGCAGAATAAATGTGGCAGAAAGCATGCTTTTGAAAAATCCAACTCATGGCATTCCATGCACTTACTTCACATTGAAATAAGCCCTAATATGTGTACATGACCACTCTAATGTAATGCCTGCCACTCTTTTCTATAGACAGTGGACCCTTGGGTTACGTACTGCTCTGGATACGTACGTAATTTTCAGGTTGCGAAAGTGGCAAACCCAGAAGTGTATTCTTCCGGGTTTTGCCACTCGTGCATGCGCAAAGCGATGCCTCTAGTTATGGATTTTTCGGCCCCCAAAATGAGTTAAATTCATAACAAGAGGGCCACTGTATCTGATTTTAGAACTGAGGAACCAGGCATCCTGATTTGGCCCAGGGACTGATCCTTATTGACATAATCAGTACAGTGGTACCTTGGGTTAAGTACTTAATTTGTTCCGGAGGTCCATTCTTAACATGAAACTGCTCTTAACCTGAAGCACCACTTTAGCTAATGTGGCCTCTGGCTGCCGCCACGCTGCCGGAGCACGATTTCTGTTCTCATCCTGAAGCAAAGTTCTTAACCCGAGGTACTATTTCTGGGTTAGCGGAGTCTGTAACCTGAAGCGTATGTAACCTGAGGTACCACTGTATTTTCAAGCAGTAATTCGGGGGGGGGGGATGACTATACAAAACCACTTCAGGATAATCAAACATACAGAAAGTATCTCTATGTCAGTAAGAAAAACACTCAAAATCTTACAATTAGATGTTACTTTTAATAGGAAGTAAAGGGTGTGTGTGCATAATCTTTAGGGATCCAATAACTTGATTGTTCATCTATTTTCCCATGTTCTGAACATCTCTTCAAGAGCAAAATATTTTCACAATGCTTTTAAAACAGAAGAGAAGGCAAGTTACTGGAACATTACAGTCCTTTTTAAAGCAATACAATGACGATAGCCTTTAGAGTCCCAGAGATTGAAACTATAAGATTACAAGCATTTAAGACACCTAGTTTTGAAATACTTGCAGCTGTATTCATTGATCAATTTCACTTTGAACAAAATATAGGTAGGATGGAATCTGATTTCTTCATAAATACTTTCACAAGGATGGAGAGTTTACATTTTCTTCATTGGCAATAAAAAAAGTGCTCAATTCACAAAAAGGGATACATCAAACCCAAAACATGCAATGGTTGTTCATTTTTTATAAAACCAAACTTTACTGTAACCCAACATTGAAGTAAGCAGTAATTCAGTTAACTTGTAGTATTTGCCCAAAAGAAAAAAGGTCTAAGTTTAGCTTTGTGTATATAGCCTCTCCATTTATTATGAAAGGATGGGGGCAGGGAAAAGAACATACCTCAAAAATCAATGATCAATAATCTAAAACAATGAGTGGTTTAATTTGAATTTTTTATCCAGCACTTCATGTGAAATAATGGGCCTCTTGCAGTAATTAGATACATCTGAAGCAGCAAAAAACCCCACCACCTACATTTTTGGCATATTTTAACGTTTATTCAAATATATTTTTTCCTTAAATTTATGAAGCCATTATCCAGTGTTATCATGAAATACAGACTGTTGATTCTAGGTAGCCTTTGCTATCTCCAAGACCAATGTTAATTAAAAAGAAATAAAGCAGGGCACCACACTAATTTTGGGAGCTAGTACACTAAAAGAGTGAAAACCTGGGGGAGGGGGCATGAACTTACAATTTATAGAAGAAAGGAACTAAGTATCTGCAAAAAAGCTGGTTTTTGGTTGTATAGTATTTTACACTTTGATCTGCTACACCTGCCAATTTAGAGCAGATGTGCTTGTCTTTCCTTGTGTCCTTTCAATATTTTCTCTCCCTCCCCCCAACCTTACACAAAGTATCATGGATATGAGCCCAAGTATCCCAGACAATCCAGTGAACAGTAAGTGTAATGCACTGGTGTGATGTGTGAGATTTTAAAAGTCTCTCCCTTTCAATCTTCATCAAAGTTCTGTTGTAGAAGGAAGTTGGCTGCCAAGTTTTCATTCTTCTCACATGCAAAATACGCTTGTATCACAAGTCCTTCAGGAAATCCTAGTGCCTTTAACTGTAGGATGGAAAAAGATATTAGAATTCACATTTCAGGTACAAAACTCCTTGTTGAGCATAAATTCCAGGTAGATAATTCTGCTGCCATTTGCTGGCACTTTGTCCAAATAACTTGCTCCTACTCTACCTAGCAACAGGTCCCCTTTCCCACTCCTCCCACAAAAAGCAGACAGCCTCAGTTACTACTATCACTATTATTACTAAAATAGGGATACACAGCAATTGTTGAAATAAATAAAAGAAAAATGTTCACATAGGTAAATTAAGCAATGTAAAACCAGAAAGGTTAACAAGTTCAAACTCCTTATAGCACAGCAATACAGCCCTGGAGAAGGAAAAAACCTCTGTGACCTTTCAATCACTAATCAATACTGCCCATAAGAAATGACTGCCTGCAATTTGCACCTCATGACTACAAGTTAATTAGTACCTTCTGTACAAACACCCAATTTGCAATCCACATGGTGCCATGAAGTCAGATGCTTTCACAATTCCCCCCCAAAAGAAAGAACAATAACCAACTTGGTTTTGCCAACTTGGTCTTTGTACATCCAGGCTATACAAATGCTTTTTTGAGGCAGGCTTGACAGACCCACAATAAAGATCCTGAGATCTTGCTTCCTGGGCTCTCAATTTTGGGGCACAACTGACAGGGTAAAGGATGGATCGATCAGTAGTGAAGATTCTGGATGGTCTGCCATTGTCTTTTAATATGGAATTACAGGATGTGCAGTACCCCTCAAATCTTCACTGACAGCATTCAAGAGTAAGAAGAGCAGCATTCAGGTGAGGAAGTTGCAGTTTTCATAGATTTTTTTTTTATCTCACGACATCAGTACTGGATTCAGGCAAGAGTTTAGGAAAGATGCTATTTTCACCTGGCTGTCTGAGATATGTCAGCGAGGTTACTACCACTTCGCCATCTGGTGGCAGGGAGAAAATAAATGCCTTGAAGAAGTTCAACAAGAGCTCAGAAATAAAATCCAGGATGATGCCATATGGTAAGTTGGCAGCCTCCCTTTTAAGTAGGAGAAATGCAACTGCTGGCCTGACTGCAGTGGCATCAATCTTATCAATCAATGCTAGCCGAACAGACCCAGACCAGCCACAGGCAAACGTTATCATTCTCACTAGGCACATCTGCCCAGTCAAGGAAGACTCCTTTTCCACCTTAGGGAATTTGGATCAGGCACAGTTCCAACCAAGGTCACTACTTTCCATAACTGCGGTATCCATAACTGCATTGTCCAGAGTTCTACTTGCAAGATGCTACATCTTCAGGAACAGTCTGCATCCATTCAGGCTGAGGCTGGGTCCCTGTAGCTTCAATGTGAGTCAACTGCATGTTCTGGCCGCTTCACAGCAATGTCAGGTGAGCAGAAGCAGCTGGGAATGACTACATGTAAGCTTCAACCTGCAACTCACCTAAAGATCCATCACCGACTCTGGTGAGATGCAGTTACCAATAAAAGACTAGCCCAGAGCTTTCCAAGCTTTTCATGTTGGTGGCACACTTTTTAGATATGCAGTATTTCAGTTTTACTAGCAAACTGGAGGTTAAACTAACCCCTTTCTAGCCCCAGAAGAGTGCGGACAGCGTTCGCGACACACCTACACACTGACGCTGACACACTAATGTGTCACGACACACAGTTTGGAAAGGTCTGGACTAGCCCTTAAGACACATCCACCTGTATACTAAATACCACCAGTGGTCTTCTAGAGTGAAGGATTCACTATACTTTTTCAACCAACAGGAAGACCATGCTGGCTTGATGTACGCTACCAGGATCTTCTACCAGACCTAGATAACCAGAGTGTCAGATAAGTGCACAAAATGACGCCACTTTGGCTATATACTCCTGCTCTCAACTTTGGAAATGGAAGGTATGGTAACAGAGAACGGGAAGCTATTCTCTACTTCAAGAGACAAAAATGCTGCACTCACTCTTTCTATAGCTTCTTTTTCCTGAGGTGTTACTTGAATGTAATTCATGTGACGGCTTCCGGCTTCAGCTACGCTTCCTCCTCCGCCACCGCTGCCACCGCCCCCTTGACCAGACTCCTGAACAGGTTCATTTAACATCTGAATAAAATGTTCTTGGTGTTGGCTTATTTGCTGTGGTGCATGGGAGGACAAAAGCAAACAATACACTGAAATAAAGCATATTCATTCCTACCAATAGCCTTAAGCACAACCACTTCTGTTTGTACTAATAATGCAATCAAAAATGCCGACAAATAATAATCAGGAGTGCCTTACAATGATATATTTATACATGCTTTAAATTTAAAAAAGTTAACTGAAGTTAATGTGCCTCATCAACTTTACTGCCTCCCTCTCCCCATGCATATAAATAAACCACCTGAAAACACAGAGACAACCCAAAATGTTTTAAAAGTCACCTGCAATAATTGAGGATTTTCCCGCCCTATTTGCTGTAGCAATGCAGGCAGAAGAGATGGATTCTGCTGAATAATTTGCCTCATCTGCTGGAACTGAGGCTGGTTTCGTAAAAATTCAAGTGGGTGTCCTGAAAAGGAAAAAGGTATGGGTAGATTTTTTATATATCTACACATGCATATAAAATAAATATTTATTAAATATTTTACCATGGAATATCATGAGAGTTGTTGTCCTTCCTCCCAAAAGCCTTTTTTCAACAGGTATGATGCCCTGAATCATATAGGGTTGACATGTCTTTAACTCCCAAGGCTTAGAACTTTCTTACTCAAAGTGACAAGAAAGAGATTAAAATAATTCCTCAGTTTCTGGCTTGAGGTGCATGACAGAGCAAATTGCTAATTTTTCTTGTGAACACCATGCTTACTGTCTGGTGTACAAGGGTGTTTTGTTTTGTTTTTTTTAAAAATTGACTTATAAACAGAAATCAGACCAACGGTCAGGCATCAGGCCCTACAAAATCCAAAGTAGAGCAATGAATTTTATCAAAACTTTTAACACTTTGTCTTGAGGTAGAAAAACCACTATAAAGCTCACTCCATAGCATAAAATGTATATTCTAAGTAACTGATATTTGTTTTAGAGAGGCTGAAAAGTGAGCAAGTGCCAAATCAAGTTTTTGCTATCACATATATTATTCATTTTTTACAGCCTACCTCAATCTCCCTTAATATAGGCGTTTATTTCTATTTATCGCTATCTTTTCGCTACAAAAATTAGTAAGTCATTTTTATGAGATGGCTAAGTTACTTGAGCCTTATTTTAACCTCAAAATCACAAATCCAAGAAAGCAGCAGCACACACAGCAGCAGCACCTAATTTTCAAGTGTGAAATTTTCAATGTACATTGAAAGCCTGCAAAGCAATGTATTAATAATGGCTGAACCTCTGCAGTTCAACCTCTAAGTTCATTTTAGCTCATTCTAAATGGCATCAAGTATTTGCTTTCCACACACCCACACCCAAAAAATTCAACGTTTCAGATACATGTTGGTGGTCAGTTGTATTTTACCAGTTATTACCAAGTGAAAAAAAGATTTATTAATCAGTCTGCATAGAACTGATTTCCAAGACAGACTGCAACAGAAACTACCTAGGGCAGTTAGTTGCTCGTACAGACATGTACTATGGAAAAAATACAAGTCAGAAAGTTCCAAGTCTTAAGGGAAGCAGTCACAGGGAAGGAATGTGCATACAACCACGTTATCCAAATTGAACCATCCAATGGATTTGTGCAGAACTTTTCGAGAATGGAAAGCTTACCTCCTGTAGAACTAGTAGTAGTTGTGGTTGTGGTAGTTGCTGCTGCTGCAGCTGCTGCAGCTGCTGCTGCTGCTGTTGCTGAAGATGGAGAAGCAACCGTGCTGGCTGCTTGAGGGGGGTCAGCCATTCCTTGACTCTCTCTGTCTCCTGGGATACCCTAAAATGACCACAGTCATGTTAAAAGAAATCAGAATTAACAAGCCTTCCAAACTGGCATAGTGTGTAAAGCGCTGCTGGGCAATGGCAAAGTGTTTATGTTCCAGTGATATCCACAGTCATATTTTTTGTTAGTGGCTTAAAACAGGACATATATTTGGCCACTTCTTGGAAATACACAAGTGAATTAATGGAGGCACATTCAGACGACTGTAAACTATCACCAGTATATTCCCAAGTTGCCAGACACTCAATTTTTGTCAAAGATCATCAGCATGTAATACAAGGCGACATACAAGTCCAAATCAAGTGCTGGATAAAATTCCACTTCTCTGAAACTGTTCCCCCTCTACCTCCAGCTTCTTGCACCATTTGAGACAAGCCATGTTTTAAAACAACAAGCAGATCTGCATGCAGAGAGCTTCAATTGAAGGTCAGAGGACTTGCTTCCAGAATCTCGGGGCTTTGAAAAATACTACAAATGCTACATCCAATTCCAACTAAAGGGATCTTGGTTTTAATAAAGGAAAACCTGTGGCCAAGATATGAAGAACTGTTCAACTAATACACTGAACCAAAGGGTGATTTGGGCCTGTTCTTCTCACAAAGCCTCACACTTCATGGCAACAGATTTTTGAAACTGAGGTTAACTAAGGCAGTCTCAGACTGAACATTGATGCTCTCCAATACCAAACCCTAGACTGCCTCAGCCAGCTGGGTGGGCAGTAAGAGGACACCAAGAAGAGCCATATTCTGACTGTGATCTGGTGTCAGGTACAAACCCTTGAAACTGTAGCCCAAGTATAAAGGCTTTTCTGATTAATATGAAGTTATGTAAGTGACAGCCACACTCTAATTCTTCCAATCTATGCTGGTGCTGCACTAAGTACCTGACGGAGCACAGCTGGAAGAGGTCAGACCTGAGCAGCTAATCCACCCATGTCTTTGTGATGTATGCCAGGTCAGGCAACCTCATCCACAATCAAATTGTCAATTATACAGGTGGGAGGGCAGGCTGGCATAGCTATCTAGGTCCCAAAGGCTGGTGAATGGCCCAGCAGAGGCAAGGCTTTGCAGCTTTCCTGTTTTATGCTAAAATCTTTCTGCCGTGAAGAAACAATCAGTGTGAAGCTTGGCTGTTGCAGGGACTGTTTTGGCAACTGAGGTTGCTTTTCACATTTTAAGCCACACCAGCCTTTTCAGAAAAGTGTGCAAAAACAAACCAAGAGCAAAATCACTGAAGTAGGAACACAGAGCTAATCAATGCCACACCAGGTAAATAAGAGCCACCAGACCTAAGCTAAATGTACAAATGTTTTATTGTGTACAGAAATTAAGATGCAGCAACGATACACAATGCCTAAGATACACAAATCTGAAAATCTGATAGACCCGGGATCCCAGCTGAAGTTTCTTGCCCCCGTAAGAGAACGAAAGGGCTGGAGTTGCTGAACACTCAAACTAAAATGGGTTATAATATTTTACTATCTAGAACTGACACAAAGGGGATGAAATGTATGAACGTTACTTAACCAGTGGTGAACTTAAGATTGAAACAGCTGAATTAGTAGAAGCAGACAGCTTATAAGTAGTCTCCCATAAATGATTAGGAAACCTTGTCCAACCATTTTATGTACTAAATACTTAGATATTTTGCAATGCCAAGGTTACCAATATATTGCAGGTAGGGAACTTTACAAATGATTTTGCAATAGATGGTTCAGGAGTGGGCAATGGCTTCTGGAGCCAACTTGTACACTTTATAGTAAAAGAAACACACCACGTTTCAGAAGTCACCTTTACATATTCTCAGGATAGGGAACCTGCAGCCCTTTGGGGGTTTTTTTGACTCCAAATGCCATCAGCATGGTCAATCAGGGAGTGTTGAATTTTTCAACTTTCAAATTCCAAAAATGAGGGGTGTTAAAAAGCTGTAACATGACTTGGGAATTCAAAAGATATTATGGTTAAATTAATATAATTTAGTTTTGCATAAGAAATATTGAATATTTTAAATGTTTTGTATAATTTCCAATAATTTTAAACTTGCCCTATTAATTTTTTTTGTAAAAAATGTGTGTAAAATCACATAAAAATCATTAAAAATGATTGCCAAGTACTTGCCGTTATGTTATACATTAATATTTTAATATTTATATATTATACATATTTTATAGTAAACTGTATATTACAATCACACACACATATAATTCACTAATTTGAGCAGCAGCTATATTTCTTTCTTTCACAGGTTGAAAAATCTTCATCTGTGTGATAAAAATTGCTTATGCTACTACCATCCTAACCAGTGGGGACTGACCTACAATGGCTTCTAAACAGAGAACAAGACTAGGGACATTCGCACATATGAGCAACCTAATTGGAACTGGCAGAGAGTTGTTGCCCTCTGAACTCCCAACTCTGAGATGTTATGAGGTATGGGCTATTGCTAGGAGAACAAAGCACTGAGGATGTAAGAAACTGCCCTGCCCTGCCAATGTTGGTTGCAAAAAGGAAGCTCACATTAACTGTACATGCCCTAAGGAGATGAAGATCCCTGTGAAGGAACTTGCTTTCATTAAAGGTCAGAGAGAGAACACCGGTTTTATTGGACCATATCAAGATTGGCTTGCCAGATCTGCCTGAACGTAAAAGACACACTTTTTTCACACACTTCTTTCTGGATCCAAACTCATTTCTCATATATTTGCCATTTCCAAAGCATCCTTCTTTCTTGCATATCAAAAAGGTTACACATTTTTTAAAACAGTAAAGAGGAGAGCATTTGGATCATGGCTGAAAATTACATTTGTTTTAACAGCAGAATAAAAGATAATAGGTCAGCTATAATGTTTTATTTTCAGTTTTTATTCACCTCCCAACCTTTGGTTTTTCTTTCTGTTAATGACTGTGTCACACCCAAAGTCGGTGGCAGAAGGCATAACAAGAAATTATGAATATCAAGAGAACATGCTCACCATCAGAAGATACTCCACTGCTCTATCAGGATTGTTGAAGCTGGCTCTCAGTGCAGCAATTACTTGCTCTCTCTCATAGCCCATCGACATGATCTCAGTCACCATGTTTTCATAGGACTGACCTGTTACTAGGAAGAACAGAGGAGCAAAGATTAAGATGAAAGAAACATGCAGATTTAAAGAAGGTGGAGGGAAGGTGTCAAAAATATCCATTCCTTGCTGCAGTCATTAATTAATTATAATAACTTCTGGCTTAAGAAAGCCATTTGAAGTACAAGGCTACAAAGTGTTTTTCCTAGACAGATGCCGATCAGTTTGGGTTTTTTTACTTTTGAAATGTCAAGCTTAATGCAAAAGCTATTCAAGTGACCAACTGTAATTGAGCATTATTAGCCAATACTGTTAGAGAGGGGTGGGAAGAGAGAGGTGGAGGCAGATCCACAGTACAACAGGATTCTATGCAGCAATCTTCAATACATAAAGCAGATATCAATACAAGGTCCTCGTTTTTCCAGAAGTACTTCTTAACAACATAGATAACAAAGTTTTAGAAAAGTAGTAATAATTTATTAAGAATAATGTATTACTTATACCCTCCACATCTGACTGGGTTGCTCCAACCACTCTGGGTGGCTTTCAGTACCAACAATAAGCTCTCTTATTGATCTCTCTTAAGCTCTCTTAAGATCCCCCTACTGATCCTACCCATTCCCCTACCCTAGCAACCCTCAACACCTTACAATTAGAACTTCCCTGTAAGTAATTGGCTAAGCAAAGTAAGAACTTAATAAATAAAATTGATCAATTCAGCAATTCCCCATTGAACACATCAAAATGAAATTGGATACATATTATTCTACATTTCTAGAGTTGCCATCTTGGCAGCAGACAACTGGTATTTACCACTTAAGTTTTACAAATGCCTTTGTCCCTATGATTAAAAACAAGTCCAAATGTAGTTAATACTGGGGACATACTGTCTCCCTCCAACTCCCCCTCAGAAATCTACCCTCTTGTAAAACTACCAACGTTAATAGCTGTAAACTTTGACTGCTGAATTATATGGCTTGCAATTAATTTGGAGAATGTGCTTTTGACACAGATTTAAGAAAGGCAAGATAGTGAAACCAGGAGGTGCAAGTAAAGTTTGTTGTATAATTAGAATGGAGATTGTTCTCTGCAGATAAACTCACTTGCCATATTAAAATATTCACTAACGCTGACATTTCAAAGTGTCACATTTTTTGAATTACAACGCTAATGTCTGAAGCAGGGTGCAAGCGGTGCTTTTTGCGAGTCTTTCATAGAAGAGGCGCTCAAACAACTATCAGAAAATACTTACCAAGTGCACTTGTAGCATCCTCAAAGAGATTGGATCGCAAAGTATCACCTGTGGTACTGTAACAGAACAAAAACCACTCATTTCCTTTAAAAAGGCTCATGCGGCTTAAGAGTTCAAGGGGCTTATATTATAATTTTGCTTATGAATAATCAAAAATGGTTTGTCTGCAATATATACATCTGTTTTTACCCGAACAAAATGCTGCTAGTAGTAGTTGTCCAAATTTCCTTTCCCACAGTAGTTGCAATCCATGGAGACACAAACTGGATTATGAAAAATACAGACTAGCACCCACCATTACAGGTATTGGCTTCATTGCTCACAACAGAAATTCAACCAGGGATATGAGGGTAAAGTACAAAACAATGCAAGTGGCACATTCAGTAGATGTAGTCTACTGACATCTGACCAAGGGTCAAGCTTCAAATGCACACAAATTTTACCAACCCTCAGACTGACTCATTGTTTGCTGAAACTGACTGAACAGATGTTCATGCCCAGTTTCCAAGTAGCTTCCTTTGGTGCATCATTTAATCACTTTTCGGGGAGGAAATGGAAATGTTTAACAACCTAGTGAAATACTTAATAAAACTAGAACATGGCTAAATCTACTGCTTTTGGTTCATCCTGTGGAAAAGCTACATTGCCATATTGTAATTGTTGCAGAATCACCTTGAACAAGTATACTTGCAAGCTACTGTTGTATAAGTTCTATTAACAAACATATATAAAAGCTCAAAGTTAACACCATATTGACAACTTCACACAGTAACTCAACTGGAAACGCAGCCAGATGGATGGGGTATAAATATTATTATTATTATTTTATTATTATTATTATACATGGCATATTAACCATTTTCAGAAGTTAGTAAAAAGACTTGTACAAGATAAAAATGCATTGTTGCTCTATACTGAAGCATTGGCTTTTTAAAAAATAAAACAGGATTTTTGGAAGGAAGCATGTAGGAGGGTTGAAAATTAATATCTCTCTTTTTCAACAATTTTGATGCCCTCCAAGAAGTCCTAGTGCCAAATTTAGTATAAGTGGTGATAATAAACAAGACTTTGGTTTCTAATAATCTGCTCATACCTGTCTGTAGATGTTGGGCTAGTGGCAGCTGGTGTCTCTACTGGTTTATCTGCTGGTTTCTCTTCTACAGGAGCACTTACAGGCACAGGTTCACAAGCCACTGCAGCTGGTGTCGGGGCAGCTGGTGCAGGTGCTGGAACTGGTGCAGGGGCAGAAGCTGGAACAGGTGTAGGTTTGGGGGCTGCAGCAGCTATCGTAGAAGAACTAACAGTAGTGGTGGTATCATTTGACTGCTGGGTTGTAGTTGGGGATGGAGCTGGAGCAGCAGCTGCTTTGGGCTATAAAACGAAGAAATCTAAATGAATCAAATTCACAAGCCATCCTTTTTCATTTTTAGCATGCACCAATGATTGGCCGTTTTCATACACCTCTCAGGGCTCAACTTGGAAGTTACATCCACCACACAAATACTGATTTATATCACTCCATATACCTGTTGCAGTGTTAGCTTCTCATGAGCATATGTAAGAGTTCAAAAGAAATCTGGTGGGTTTGCATTAGCATGGCAAAAGCAGCCATTGTACATGAAAGATATTACACACAACAGTAGCCCCTTGGAATTACTAAAACTGCAATGATGTGATCAATGCAAAGCAATGAGACAACCTGTGATGTACAATGGTACCTCGGGTTATGAACTTAATTCTTTCTGGAGGTCCATTCTTAACCTGAAACAGTTCTTAACCTGAGGTACCACTTTAGCTAATGGGGCCTCCTGCTGCCGCCGTGTGATTTCTGTTCTCATCCTGAAGCAAAGTTCTTAACCTGAGGTACTATTTCTGAGTTAGCGGAGTATGTAACCTGAAGCATCTGTAACCTGAAGCGTCTGTAACCCGAGGTACCACTGTATTTGAATATAAATATTCATTACAGGTTGTATCCAATCCTAGTCTTACTCAGATTAAACCAACTGAAATTAATGAGAATGAGTAAATTTAGATCCATTAACTTCAGTGGGTCTACACAGATTAAAACTTAGTCGGCTATAACCCTTTATGGCTAGAAAACCACCGTGCACATTTTGTGTCACTTGGTATTACCGCATGTGTCATGCAATACCCTAAGTGTATTCTTTTCAACATTCTTAAAACAACTGTGCAGTTATTCTAGAAATATAATTTATACCCAATCGCATAAATATGGTTATGCTGTTTCTACCAGAGCAGTACTGTAGTTTTCAAACTGTGTTCCAAGAACTGTTGACTTTATTTCAAACTTTTTGGGCATTTCTACAATGTGAAGATCAGTGGTGGCAGGTATTTTTCCATGAAAGACAGACAGCTGGCCCTTCACTACCAAACTTCTACTGAATGGATATTGAGTGTGTTTCAGAGCATCCACAAATAGTGATAGTGTGAGCCAACCAATCTGATCTGATTCTTCCAGCACCATACAGGTTTTACTGGACGTATTTGTGCAGTTTACAAAACAGGACACATCAATGCAGAAAGGGTTAACAATCAAACCATCCCTGAATAGATCTATACAGTAAGCTAAATGCCTGCCAGTAAAGAAAACCTTTTTGCAGCAGGAACACAATCAGGTCGTTTGAAAAGCAATTCAGCAAAATCCTGTTTAACCATTGTTGAAAACCATCAGTCATCAATATGTTCAAATAGACACAGATAATATGGCCACCAAGGTCTGGTTATGGGTTTAGTTCATTGCTATTTTAAGTGGCCTTGAGGAGGCCACATTCTCAGAAAGACAAACTGAAAAAGAAGGACTGTTGCCAATCAAGCAACAAAATGCACATTACAGCAAGCTGCAGAGTCGCTGCTCTATTTCATCATCATCAAGATTTGTAGGCCGCCTTACCATACTTAAAATTATGCTCCAGGCAGCTTACAACGTAAGATGATTTACATAATTACAAAATAACAAAAGTACTCAAGCAATAAAACAAAACACATCAAAAAGTACACAACCAAATTGAGCAATTTCCAGATACACTGTAAAATCTAAAAATAGAGATGCCAAAAGATTAATATCAACAATGGCAACAAAAAAACCTAAACTATACCCTGACCCAGGGGTAGTCAACCTTTTTATACCTACCACCCACTGATGCATCTTTCTTGATGGTAAAATTTCCTTACCGCTCAATGGAAGGAGGATTCAGCTTGTGCCGTAGAACCCCCTACCGCCCACCTAGAGTCCTGAAATGCCCACTAGTATGCGGTAGGGACCAGGTTGACAACCCCCGCCCTAACCCAAGGGTCTGTTCAGCAGCCTCAGCTTTTGTAGCTGGAGTCAGTCAAGGACCCATCCTCCAAAATCAGGTGGAAAAAGGCTAGCAAGGCAGATCATTTTTAACCTGACAATTTTCAACACATCCCACCATAACCTTAACATCAAAATATAGTTTCATCATGCAGTCAATTGTAATACATAGAGAATGTGTCTCAAAGATGGACAGTTTTCAGTTATGTCAGCTGCCCATCTACTATCTGCTCTAATTTGATCTGACAAACAGGGGAGGATCTGATCAGAATTGTCTAGGATACCAGTATTTGAGATAATGAAAAATCACACTTAACAGTAATTTAGATAAAGGTGTATGTTAAACCAAGTGTATTTTTCAACAGATATATAAATAGCCAGGATCCAATAAATTCCAAGAGATGTAAAAGAGAAGAGAATATAAACTCTTGAGTTAATAAGTAAAATTTGGCTACTTCCACATTTTTGAAAAAGATATTCACCACTGCTACATGCACTTCACAACAAATTCTCACAAACTTTTATAGTATACATTTCAACATTCTTGTTTTTTCTGTTATTATAGTGCTGAATGTTCTCTTAATATATTACAAAACTAGAAAACCTCAGGATAAAAGTTACCAACAGCCTGTTTTCTTATGTTACAAGTCAATAAAGAACAATTTAAGAGCAACCCCCTGCCACCCATGCCAGAATATTACTGATTACACTGAGACTTACTTTTGTCACCATAACCACCACAAAGTTCTTTTCATCGATTTTGTATTCTTTAAGAGCAGTATCATCATTAAGAATTTTACCTAGAAAATTAAAGTCATTCATGTTAGTTTTTCTTCACATTTAATATGATCCCATAAATGCAATTGCAATGTGTTCACTCTGTGTAGAAATCTAAAGATGGAGTCTAATGGTGATAGTCATTTAGTTAAGCATATACCATATTTTTCCGTCTATAAGATGCCCCCATGTATAAGACACTATTTTGGGGAACTCAGATTTAAGAAAATGGGGGGAGATGGCCCAGAGTATAAGACGCCTCCTAATTTTTGACATTATTTTTTAGGGGGGAAACCTAGTCTTATACACGGAAAATACGGTAGCTAAGGTAGCAGCACATGAAGTCAGTTGTCTGCAACCTCCAGACAAATGATTCTATCCAATGTCTCCATGTGTGTCACTTTTCTTGGCTACTATGGGGTGATAAAACATTTAAGTTCTCCATGCTGCAAGTTAAGTAAACACTGTGTAGCTCCTAGTCATCCTTTTTCATGCTATGTTCATTCACTGACTTTCTTAGTTTCTGTATAAGCAGTCATTCAAAAAAATCCACCTTGTATTGAATTTCGCCTGAGTCCCATTGCTTGTTTACAATGTAACCTCCATTTGCTCTAACAATTTAACTAGTCTACAGCAGAACTTTTTCCAGCTTAATTGATTTTGAATATTGAAGAGGGAAAGCAATTTTTTTTACCTAAGTCAGTCTAGTACACTAAGCTAGCCCAAATACAGACCAGGCATTTTTAGCCAGTGACTCACAAAAGGAGGGGTTCTTTAAAGTTTAAAGGACAGCTACTTCTCACTTTCTGGCAGTTGTCTATACTGTAGCTACAATATTGCTAAATAGTAAGTTAACAGCGAACAACTACTAATGTGATAGGCAGAAACATATCTCTACATTGACAAGTAGATACACAGGAATTAGGGCTGCTCCCTACACAGAAGCGAACCCCTCCCTATCTCAGGGCAGGATTCACCTTCGGAGTCCCATCAATGGAAGTCCTGCACAAGGACTTCCACTTGTGCAACAAGGCTTCCCCCCGCTCCTAGAAACTGGCTCGGGTACACACACAGGAGAACCTCCAGAATAGCGTGCAGGAGTGGGGATGCTCTCTGGAGAGTTGAAATGCGTGTACTGATGGCAAAGCTTGCCTTAGTGCAGAACTGAGTTCCTTCCAATCTGTTTCCACCTGAGAAAACACTATTGTTCCATTTTAGTAGCTATGGTAGTAAGGAAAATGTGAGTCAGTTCTAAAAAACTTATTAAATTAATGGGCTAGTTCATGTTTCTTTAATGTGAGATTAAAAACTTCTATAACTCCCACCGCATCTGTTGGTATGTATCTATAATTTGGCATCCTCTCCAATATAACTAAGCTATTGGGCTTGATATAAGATACATCTTGGTGTTAAATATCCATGCAACAATTTAAAGTGAATCTTCTGTAGTAGCTGGTGGCAGAGGTTTATATTGTGCTTTTGCCCATAAATTGTTCCATTTATCCCCTTCAGTGTTTGTATTCCACTATCAATTAGCGACAGCTTGTTGTAAGGGTAGGTAACTGAGATTATGTATGTTTAGTGCTTTGTTGGAACATGCTATATAAATGCCGTAGATCAGGGGTCAGCAAACTTTTTCAGCAGGGGGCCGGTCCACTGTCCCTCAGACCTTGTGGGGGGCCGGACTATTTTTTTTGGGGGGTGAACAAATTCCTATGCCCCACAAATAACCCAGAGATGCATTTTAAATAAAAGGACACATTCTACTCATGTAAAAACATGCTGATTCCTGGACCATCCGCGAACCAGATTTAGAAAGCGATTGGGCCGGATCCGGCCCCCGGGCCTTAGTTTGCCTACCCATGCTGTAGATTATTGTAATTTAGCTGAAGCATCAGATGCAAAATAAGTTAAGTCCAAAAGGAAGCTGAATTCCTAGCCATATAAAAATTCTTTCTACTGGGAAAACAATGGTCAAGAGACTTCTTCTATCAATTCCATATATTACCCAAGAGATTAACTCTTGGTTTCTTTGGGTGTGATCAAGCCCAAAATTAAGCATTTATTAAGCCCCACTGGTAGCAAGGAGAGAGTTAAGTATGTGCCTAAATCCCTCCCCAATAAGATTGAAAAGCTTCTCATGTCAGCTGGATGGAGCTCTTTGTGACCTGCCAACTTTTTTTGTTCCTCTTACAGTAACACCTAGAAATAATATCTATGTGCAAAAACATTACCTGCATATATTAGTTTTTGGCCTGCTACTGGAAAAGCATCTTTCCCCTTTTCTGATTCAATCTTCTCTTTCAACGCTTTCACCTACAACAAACAGTTTAGTTAGAAAGTTTAGTTAGAACTCTTATGAACAGTGTTTTCAAATATATGCATACACACACACACACACACACACACACACATTACGACGCCTGTGATGGCAACATTCTTTGTCTGTGATACCAAGTTTTGTTTCCTCTACTGCGTATGGGAAACTTGTGGCTTTCTATATGCTGAGGAAATACAACTCCCATGAGCCCCAGTCAGCATGGCCAATGGCCAGGGATGACTGGAAACTAGAGACATCTTAGAGAGCCACAGGTGTCCATTCCTGCTCTGCTGGAAGCATTTTCTGTATTAATAATTCTTCAAAAATTAGATAATTATGTCAGTTGAAAAGATTACATGTAATCCAAACATTAAATACACACCTATGCTCAACACTTCAGTTTAAACTTTCAAAATGTTCAGCCCATAGGACACAGATTAAGTTAATCATATTTGTACCCTCATCCTTCTGCTCAGGGTCTCACTTTACCCTAAAAATTCTGCAAGGCAAATTAAGCTACTCAGCGAAGCTGAATAGGAATTTGTTTCCCACATGCAAACCTAAAACTCTAGTCTAGCGGTAGGGAACCTTTTTGGCTCCACAGACCAGAATCATGAGCCAAATTTGACAGGTGGGCAGGATCAGATGTTTTTGGCCTACAACTCCCATAATCCCTAGCTCACAGGACCAGTGGTCAGGGCTGATAGGAGTTGTAGCCCAAAAACATCTGGGGACCCAAGGTTGAGAAAGGCTGAGTTAGAGGGATGAAGCATGTGCTAATAGAGTTTGCGCAGATATACTTTGCTATCAACACCCACCCCTTTTCATAGATTCATTTTATGAATCTATGTTGCAGTCCACAAGAGTGTGATGTGGCATGCTCTCTCAGTTTCAGTGTTCTTATCTTCCTTTTGCCAAGTGTCAGATCCTTAATGCTATTTTAGTGATCAAGGATGAAAATCTGAGAATTCAAGATGGCAATTATGTTTCAAGAACCACAAAACTCTGTGCATTAGTTTGGAGCTCTTGACTGTGTACTGGTGACTAATAAAAGTGAATATATATACCCTGCCTCTTCACAAAAATGCCTGAAGTGATCGATAACATTTGCAAGAGATCAACCCCCACAACTCAATTAAGAAGTTAACACAATAAAATCAGACAACAGGAGATAACATATAAAAAATACCAGTGCATTTTTCGTGTGCATTTAAGCTTTTTGGTACAATTTTGTGTCTGAATTTACACCACATGAAGATCCAAAGATTCCACAGTATTAACTTAAAGAACTGAACTTATGCAAGTCTATTTAATGCAGCATGTTGTCCTTCGGTCTCAGAAATGCATAGGCAGAAATAGGGCCAGAAGTACTCATCAGCATTAAGAGTAACTAGACAGCACTGTCTTTCTATAAGGAAGAGACTGCCTTTAATTTAAGTCCAGATCTTTATTAATAAGCCTGATGCAATTTCCCTTCCCATGACAAAAGCATATTCATTCAGTAGCATGTAGAACACGCTGACAATAGCAAAAATGCCATGACCAGGAAGAGTTTTAATTTGACTGTCAATCTGCCAAGGGAGTGGGGATATGAGAAGAGAAGATCTTTCAGGAATGCCATTGATGACTTTACACCTTTATACTTCATGGCAGCATGCCTGAGAATCTTGTATTGCCAGGCAATAGGAATTTTATCCCTTTCCTTCTGCCATCCAATTTACTTGCTGATCTCATATTTTAGATGGGTGGGGGTCCAGATTAGTGCATGCAGTAGGCTTAGTATCAAGGATGGATGAGTCCATCTTCAATCCTAGTAACTTTCACAGATGCTCACCCACAGTTCTGTTCCAACATATTTCCACATTAATCTGCAATTCTTGTAATCCACATAAATATTAGTATTCAAATTTAATGGTTTAAACAAGTATTTTAAAACATTCTCTCAAAACTTAACAAAGAACTGCTTCAGGGCATTCAGAAATACTTAAAACTAAATTTCAATCGATGCATTAATCCAAGAGGCATGGATCAAATCAGAATTCACGAAGTCATCAAAGTAAAAGAAGGTACAATGTACCAGAGACTGACAAACAATTAACAATATGGGATGAAAAATCTGAAAGTTCAACTTTACATTGAGCCAATTCAAATATATTTTCAATTCTGCACAAGTTAAGAACTTTACTGCATAATCACTCATGGTTTTGCCAGAAAGAAAATTATGAACAACTACCAAGCATATACTTTTAGCTATCTTTGTTCCAGCATCATCCCTACCTTTGTTCAAAACCATAGTCACCTAACTACAATGCTGCATGTTTGTAACTTCTGTAATTTGGGTGCTAAATACTTAGAAGCTACCTCTGGAAAGAACATGTCCTTGAAAGGACTGTAGAAGCACAAATGAAGAAAACAAAGACTTGTAAATGAACATTGCTGAAAGTGATCTGAATAGCATCTGAATCGCCATGAATAAGTCTATTCCCTGAAAAAGTAAAATTGTGCCATAGTTTTGAGATAAAAATAACAGTCAGGAAAAGATTTTGCAGATCCATTCATTCTACAAAGATTTTCATTTACAAAGGCTGCAATCTTATGTTTACTAAGGAGCAGTGGTAGATTGTTTTATTTGATGTTCACCTGGGGGGGGGGGGGGAGTTGACTAGACAGTACATTGTGGCGACCAAAACTTAGGTTCAATTCTAGGTGCCATTTGGCTATTAGCTTATATATCGAGTTTCTAATACTGGTTGGTAACAAATAGAAAAGCTTAGATACAATGCAGAATACAACTGAACAGAGCACCAACATTAGATTCCTTAACATTTACCCTGAACAATTTCATGAGTTGTCCAGTTTCCAGAAAATGTATTTGCTGGCTAAAAGGACTGCAAGCTATGATGGGCAGGACATTGGCCAGTGAGCAGTGTTGCCTGTTTCCCTTTACTAACTCCTAGTGGTCAGTAACACACCCCTTCTCTTGACATTTTGAAGTAGGTACTTCTCAACACTATTTTAGCACCTGTTTGCTGTGCTGCAGTGAAGGGGTAAATACATCTCTGAATAGGAGCAAGCGATGGCATAATCTGCTGGAGTAGCAAGGAGGATCCTCTCCACAGTGAATGAGGTGATTCACTGAGGGACGTGGATGGCACCGTGGTCTAAACCACTGAGCCTCTGGGCTTGCCGATAGAAGGTTTGGACAATTCAAATCCACGTGATAGGGTGAGCTCCCATAGCTCTGTCCCAGCTTCTGCTAACCTAGCAGTTCGAAAGCACACCAGTGCAAGTAGATAAATAAGTGGCACAAAGGTAAATGGCATTTCCATGTACTCTGGTTTCTGTCACAGTGTTCTGTTGCACCAGAAGCGGTTTAGTCATGACCCGGAAAACTGTGGACAAACGCCGGCTCCCTCGGCCTGAAAGCGAGATGAGCACGCCATCCCACAGTTACGTTTGATGGGACTTAACCATCCATGGGTCCTTTACTTTTTTACCTTTAATGTGGCTTTCAAGTCTGAGACAGATAAATTAGAGAATGAGGAAAATAATCAAGCAGAGGGCTGGACACTTCTTATTTACATGGGGTTCCTACTTCATGCTAGAAGTTTAAATAGTTAACATTGATTTGCACATCAAATTAGAAGATAAAGCTTGGTTTCAATGTGTTGAACATCTTTTGTTATAATGTGTTTACTATTTGCATTTATTATATAAAACTCTATTTGATGGTTGTGAAGCAAGCATCAGAACCCCAGGAAATAGTGCCTGCTCTCTATCACCCTTTAAAACAAAAGAGCTCTTGAGAGTGCTCCTTGCCGTGAGGATTTTTATGAAATTATCTGAATGACAAATTTGCTCAACACAGACTACCAGGCAATTGGCTATCGCCAGCCTTGGCTTAAATATACAAAGTTACTAAGAAAAACTGTATCCACCTTGTGTTTTCCTAGATGAACACAGAACCACTGAACAACTCCAAAAAAGCCATGAAGTAGGCAATAAATTACTGGCGTATCTTTCATATTTACTGAAATCTACAGCTCATCAAAATGGCATTTTCCAAAGATTCACTTCTAAATACGGAATGCAAAAGAGATCATAGAGGTGAAGCCTGCAGCAATCTACAGACCAGCAGAAAACATTCAAACAATCAACCTTTAAATGTCAATGGTTCCGGTACTGCAGTGTGGTGAAATGTTTTTAGCCTTAGCACCATGTTGCTCAGTTGAACTGCTCCCCACCCCCACCTGCCCAAACCAGGAGTTTGTATACTATTATTATGATTTTTAGTCCACATCTTCAATGTACATTTGGCATTCCCAAGGCTTCAAATAAAGTTTAAGCAATGCTAGAAGTGGTGAGTACCAACAATTCAAGGACACTGTTTACCCAAACAGTATTTACTTGTTTAGTCCCATGAGTACTTAACATATAACCATGTCATCCTTACAACAATTCTGTAATGTAGTTCAGCATTATCCTCATATTACAGAAGAATGAGACCTAGTGCACAGATGGGGAACCTGTGATCCTCCAGATTTTGCAAGAATCCTAACTCCCATCAGCACTTTTTCTTGGTGACTGAAATCAGTCCACACAATACAAACACATAATTTCTCCTCCGTATAAACATCAATTTGAAAAAGTACAATAGAAACATTAACTGTTCAAAGTACTCTCCATTGATCCTAGTAATCCTAACAACTTCATACAATAGCACAATATGATCTCCTAAGTAGACAAATATTTTGAGGTTGAGATAGTAGCTTGCCTAAAGACAACCATGGAGTTCATGATGACTGAAGATCAAAAATACATCATTCCCCATACTCCAAAGCAATGTTTATACATTTACTACCTTCCCAAGCACAAGGATTAGAACAGTTCTGAGATCTTACTGATTCATCCATTTGGCTTGCAAAGCCAAGAACAGAACTGCTACATCCAAAATCAACATTGTCTATGGAAAATGCTTTCATAGCTACAGGTATGCCAGATTTGTCCCAACTTCCCACCAGTGCCGCCACCACCTTCCTTGGTAATAAATCTGCAAAAGTAAGGCTATAGGGTGGCTTCAGGAAGGTGTAATAGTAACTATTATACAAGCACTTGGTTAGTTGGGGAAGCATTTTAGCAACTATGAAGCAGTATCAATGGAGCTGCACATAAACCTGACACGAAAAACTGGACAGAACCATCCTTCATGACAGACAGCCATATTCTATATTACTTCAGAAAGGGGCATCTAATCATAATTTTTAAAATCTGGCATGAAGAAACATTTTAAAGCAGACCTACCAGTTGTTCTACAGTTTAGGTTATTTTATAAGCTTACTTAACCTATCTATAGATACATGGTTGTAGAGGAATACCAAGAAAGGTTTCAAGATAGTTTTGACACAAAATACACTACTAAAGCTGAAAACTGCACTCTCAGAGCAACACCCAGTTTTGTTAGTCTGCATGCGGAACAGACTTCCACCAGTGCCCATGAGACTTCCCTTTCCTATGGTTCTCCCTTTCCTATGCAGCCCCACCATCCACAAAATCTTCTCCAGAGGACTGAAAGACCCTCTGGAGCAAAGACGGTTGTTGTTTTGTTTGTGGGGATAGGAAAGGAAGGAAAGGTCTGGTACAGTCCAAGGAAAATACATCAAAACAATGTCTTCAAATTTATTTGTTTCCTGCACATTTTGCAATTTTAAGGAATGACTTGTAACATCTACCTTCTTGCCTAGATTCTCTGTAATTTATGGTATGCAAGGAAAACATTAAGCTTTTAAAGGGTCAAGTTTCTAATGGAATTCTATACAACTTCCTTTCTTACAAGTTTTCAGAAAGTGTGCTTTCTGTGATGAAGTACCACAGTGAGAGACAAGAACTCTGGAAAGAGGAGTGGAAAGACACAGAGCGCAGCTCAGTGCAGAATATTAAGGGTGTTGTATCTACCCCTCACATACTAATGTGAAGGGAGCAACATTTTTAAAGAAAATTGTGTGACAATATAGGTTCACTTTCATTGACCACTTATAGCTCAAATGTCACAAAGTGCAACATGTCTTTATACCTTTCCCCATTTTCTCCAAAAGGCTCAAGCATTCAGCTCACCGAGGCTGCAGAAAGTGCCACTATTAACCAACAACAGAACAACATTCCTGCTTCCTAATCACCTTTCTGAAGAGACAAATCAATACAGCTCACACCAGGGAGAGGAAAAACACACATCCCAACACTTACATCACACTGCCTCAAGAAGTATTTTAATATGCGAACGCAAAGATTGCTCCTCTGCTACCTACTTATAATGTAATGAGGGTTTGGCTTGGAATAACCATTTGGAGCAGTCTGTGGAGGAGCCTGCATCGCCCTATTTTCTCCAGCACTAGGCACACCAGTTTAGCAACCGGGCATAAACTTTAAGAGACACAGATTATATATATATATATAAAAGAAACAACTCCCTTGCAGTCTACACTTCGATGCGTAGCGCGTCCTTTTCTGATTCAACCCAAAACAGGAAAAGCACGGATCGCTGCACAAGCGGGAAAAATTTAACCTTCAGGAAGAACACCCCCCCCAAAAAAAAAAACCAACGCCTTAGCATACCCTCTCGCTGCCCACCTCTCACGGACACGGGCCTTTTTTCCCGCTGCATACCCAGAGGGCGGGAGCCAGGCAAGCAAGCCAGCCAGCAGGCACCCAACTCGCACACGCCCCTTCCTCATGCGAAGCGAAATAATGCACAGTCATGGCAAAGCCCCGCTCGAGGACGCCGCCAGAGCCACCCACCAGCCCCCGCTCTGCCCCTCCAACCACCGTTGGAGCCTCATGCACGGCAGATATACAAGCTGGACGGGCATCGAGTATAGATTGCAACGGGAGACACCTCCTTCCCAGGCCTGGAGGGGGGTCGGCGGAGGAGGGGGGGAGGCACATCCCCTTCCCCGCCTTGCAACGGAGCCTGCGTCAAAGGCCTCGCCGGAGAACGGAACCTGCAGCCTGGCTCGGCTCAGTCCCGCCGGAGGGGCCCCAAGGCCTCCCGACCACCAGCCCGCGCCATGGATTCTTCCCTCTCCCCCCCCCCCAATAAAACATCCCGGTTTCCCGGCCTCCCCCCCCTCTAACTTTCCCCTACCGCAACTTCTGAGGAAAAGCGCCTCGAAGGAGGCCTCGGAACGGGGCTCTCGCTCGCCGCCACCCCACGACTCCTGTCAGCCGAACCTTCCCCTCAGACCCGCCGCGCCGCCCAATCCCAGGCCTGGGCCTAGCCCACAAGCTCGGCTCTCCCGCTCCCTCAGGCCGCACCGTCTCCTCAGGGTCGATGTCTATCTTGAAGGTTTGCTGCTGCAGCGTCTTCAGGGTGATCTGCATGGCGGCAGCTGAGCTGTAGGCCGCGGCGAAGCCGACCCCCGCAGGCTCCCTCAGGGAAGGTGGTGGTGGTAGTGCTACTGGTGGCGGCGGCGGCGGCGGGAGCTCCCCCTGGGTCCTCCAGTCACCGCTCCGGCCTAGGCTGGCTCGGGCTATGGTGGGTGAAAGTCGGGGGAGGGGGGGGAAAGGGAGGGAGGAGTTGTGGGCGGAGCTTAGGAGGAAAAGGAAACGTTCCCCTCCGTCGCTCTCTCGCGCTCAGGCGGGCCATTGCGCACGCGCGGCCCAAGGAGGCGTTGACAGGGATCCTCGCGCTCGGCTCGCGGCCCAGCTGCTGCGGCCGCCGACGACGCCGCCATGATGACAGCGATGACGAAAGGCACCTTCCGCCACGGAACCCCCTCCCCCTCCTTCGACAAGAGGAAAGGAAGGCGCGAGGGAGCGCGCATGTGTAAAGGGGGGGAGGCGTACGTGCGTGCGTGTTTGTTTGTTTCCGCCCTTCTCTTTTTTGAAAGGGTGGATGGGATGCGCATGCGTATACGCGAGTGGCGAAGGCCGGGCGGAAACGAAGCAGAGGGAGGAACAGTTGCGAGGCGGGGATCGAGGGCCGAAGGCGGGAAGAGGCGGGATAAATGGACGCGGGGGGAGGGGAAGCGAGGTTTGGGGGAGGGGCGGGTGTTGCTTAGTGGTTTCGTTTGGTATTGAGGGTTTTTTTCGTATCTTTATTGTAGATCTTGTGGTGGTTTGTGTGGAAACGGTTCGTTTTGGTCATGTATTATTTGGGTTGGTTTATTTATCGGCATTATTATTCATTAAATTTGTAAATAACCCCTTCATCCCAAGATCCCAGGGCGGTTCACAGAAGAAAAATACAAATGGTTCATGACTACTTTTGTTTTGTTGTAAGCTCCCAAAACACACTCACATATATATAATACTGTAAACACACATACACACACACACACACACACACACTTTCTCTCTACCTGTGTGTGTATGTGTGTGTGTGTGTGTGTTTTGGGGGGAGTCCAGTGGGTCCAATGGGGTCAAGAAGGTGGTCTCTGCACATGCTATAGAGGGAAATGAGGGGCAGATGAGGCTTGTCCCCCTGGGAAGGGAGTCCGTCCAGAAGAAGGGAAACACTGATCCTTGCCTTGGGGTTATAGTTCTGCCTTGGTTGTCAAACACCTTGGTACTTGTACGTTTTAGCTCCCAAAACCCGGAAGTGAGTTTTCTGGTTTTCGAATGTTTTTTTGGAAGTCAAATGTGGCTTCTTCTATTGTTTCCAGAATGCCTGCGCAATTGGGAGCCTATGGAAAGCCACGCCTTGGTTTCCAAACGTTTTGGAAGTTGAATGGACTTCCGGAACGCATTCTGTTCAAAAACCAAGGTACGGCTGTATATTCATCCATGAGAAATGCTTCAGGAGTGAACCCTGAGGAAAAATCCATACCCATGACCTTATTGTAAGCCACCCTTATTGTAAGCCACCCTTGAGAATCGCTGCTTTGAAAGGCAGGCTGCAAATCTAAATAATGATATAGGAACAGAAATTAAATTGGCTCACTTTGCATTTTGTTGCCACTCTCGGGTGCTACTTCAATCTCAAAGCTATGTTCATAAATGTTTCCTTCCCTTCCTCCAGCCACATGCATCTTAAAAAGTAAATTCTGACTTTTTAGTATTATAGTGAAGTTAAATTTACACCCCAATTATCTGTTCTAGTGGAATCTTGAGGATGTTTAGAAAACAATTTATGCAACAGAAGGATTAACCCAAAACACAGTCCATCAACATACCGGATAAAAATAGGGAACACAGCTTTTAAGTATCTGTGGCTAACTAAAGTTAGAGCAGAAGATTGGGCTTCAATATTGCTGAGGACTCCAGAACATAGACAACTTAGCAAATTAAACCTAGGGCAACTCTGCAGATTTACAAATTAGAATCTTGAATTAATGGATGATTTCCAGCGTTAGTCATACTCAGACTTAAGTCCATTAATTTAAATGGATATTACCAGTTCAGGGTACCTTGGCACTTTTGGTCATTTGGTATTACAGTCTATGGAGAGACAAGCAGTGAGGTTTCTCACAAGTTGTGATAGCAAAGGAGATAAAACAAACCCAAAGTACAGCGCTAGCTATCAGCCTAGATAAATAAAAACTGAATAAGGTATGTGCTAGGTGCAAGAACAGTTATCTTATGGATTGAATATAAGAAATTCATATTCCATTCATTGGACAAATGTGACAATCTGCTAGGCTTTCAATTAGAAATAATTGGAAGAACTTTCAATTACAAATAATTCTTCATGCAGGAAGAACAATACAATTGGCTTATCTTAGAACAGGCATGTCCAACTGGAAGTTGACTGTGATCCACGATCCAGTATGAAAACTGGCAGTGATCTACCACCCAGGGATGGGTGCAGGGTGGGCGGACGCTGGCTGCTTCCCCCGAGGGGGCAGAGATGGACGCAGGGAAAGAGGGCACACCACCTGCTTCCCCTGACGCCACCTGCTTTCCCTGACATGGCAGGGGTGGGTGTAGGGTGGGTGCGCACCAATGGGGCAGGGGTGGGCACGTGCAGGATCCAAACAGCCCCTCCCAGCGGAGGGCGGTTGGTGATCGACCAGAATACATCGCAGGATCTACCTGCTGCAATTGACGCGTTGGACATGAAGGAGCATCTCCACCCCCATCGTTCTACCCGGACACTGAGGTCCTTCTGGCGGTTCCCTCACTGCAAGAAGCCAAGTTACAGGGAACCAGGCAGAGGGCCTTCTCGGTAGTGGCACCTGCCCTGTGGAATGCCCTCCCACCAGATGTCAAAGAGAAAAACAACTACCAGACTTTTACAAGACATCTGAAGGCAGCCCTGTTTAGGGAAGCTTTTAATGTTTGATTCATTACTGTATTTTAATATTTTGTTGGAAACCGCCCAGAGTCGCTGGGGAAGCCATGCAGATGGGCAGGGTATAAATAAATTATGATGATGATGATGATGATGTCTTAGAACATCATACTATTTGTTTCCCAGCTATTGTAGGTACAAATCATGACATAGAATCATAGAATTGTAGAGTTGGAAGTGACCCAGAGGGCCATTTAGTTCAGCCCCTGTAATGCAGGAATAAATGATATAACTACGAAAGCTGGTGTGAACTGTATTTCACACTTCTCGGAGCCATTGAAAATTCCATGGGCGGTCTTTTAGGGTTAGGTGGGATATAAATGCATTCAATCAATCCACCAATCCATTTCAGGTGGCCAGTTTCCTTGAAGGACAGATTGCTGAATATTGCAATAGTGTCTTTGCAATAGTCTGTTTATTCATATGTGTGCTGAACAGGTAGCAAGCAACCAAGCACAGGCAGAGAGTGCTTAGATTACAGCATTCCAAACATTACCTATTCCAAACATGCCTGGAGGACAACTATTCGTCTTAGAAAAGCTATTTTTATGTGTTTCTGAGCAAATGCAGAGGTCGGCATTTCCTAATCAATGTGATTAAAGGTGGAGGGGAGATTTGTCTATATTTAGGCGCCTAATTATAGATTTGGTTACGTTGCCCTGGGCGCCCGTATTTCTACATCATGGGTGTAATGACTATAGAATACAGAACAAGGCAACATGCCTTGCGGCTGCTACCACATTATTAAACAAAAGCATACCATCTGCTATGGAATAAATGTAGTTTCTAAAATAAATGGTTCTCTTAGTATATGGGTGTTTTTCCAGCCGGACTGCCGGTTCCTTGAGTTCATTGGGGATAGAGCTGAAATATTCAATTTCTTGATTGCTTTCTCTGTTACTAATAAGTAATGCCATCTCATAGGTCAGAGTGGCTGCCAAGTATATTACAGCACAATGCATCTACAATATTCTGAACCACTTAATAGTCATAGACCAACATATACAAATCACAGATCCTATGCGTAAATTAATTTCTTCGACTTCACTAGTTCAGGATAGGAAAGGGGTGGTTCCCAGTTTTGAATACACCCAGGGAAGGAAGGAAGGGAAGGAAGGAAGGGGAAGGAAGGAAGGAAGGAAGGAAGGGAAAGGAAAGGAAAGGAAAGAAGAAAAGAAAGAAAGAA